CATTTTCAAGAGCTCTGGCAAATGAGTTCAGTTCTCTGGGGTATGCTAGGAAAAAAGTTTGTGGCAAAAGTGTTTGTTACTTCCCTGGTGTCCAAAGTCCTTGTACAGTCCTTATTAGTAACTACAGTTCTTGTTTTTCCGGCCCTGGCTCAACAAATATGAAAACTTGTCATTATTCTGAGGAATTCCAATTGTCAAAAGCTCATCTGAGGATCATGGATACTTACCAAGGTCTCACTGCCCACTATGGTTCTTTTCTTTGTAGAACCTTGAACATCCCACTTGTCTGTATTAATTTCTTAAACACCCTTAGGTATGATGAGCACAAAGCCCAATATTAAATGTGAAAGACTTTCTAGGGTGATAAATATAAGCCACGGAGCACTGTGACTTGTATTTCTCAATTAAACGCTCCCTGAAGGCAATTTTAAAACATCAGCATGTTCTGGAATTAAAATGTTTCCCCATTTGAGGAGTCTACCTTTACCTCCTCATATCTAAGTAGTATGTATCACACACATACCCACACCCTCTACTTCTCACTAGCAATAGGCTTTACCATCTTTACCTGACAATGACCCCAGGGCGAAGATCAAAGTTCTTCTTCACAATCTCTAACAGCTCTCTCTCAGTCTTCTGAGAGGTACCATAATGGAAAATGGAGATGGACAATGGATGAGAAACTCCAATAGCATAAGAGACCTAAAAAGGATTCAAATGTTAACAGTCAGTAATTCAAATGCATACTTGTACACATTGGTATAAAATGGGCAAGAAGCTTATTACTGTTATATCCCTCCCGCTTACATGGCTGTTTACCACTCCAATTACATAAAAAGAATATATACCTGAACAAGAACCCTCCTGCACAGACCTCCTTTAACAAGGGATTTTGCCACCCAACGGGCAGCATAAGCAGCTGAGCGGTCCACCTTAGTATAATCCTTTCCTGAAAAGGCACCTCCTCCATGAGCTCCCCAACCGCCATAGGTGTCCACAATTATTTTCCGGCCAGTCAAACCAGCATCACCCTGAAATTATAGGATTTAAGTCACTTTATGCCTAATCGTTCCCAGTAAGTGGTTCTAGATTAGAATGCCTATTCCATGCCACTAAAGATTCACAAGCAAATTCCAGAATCTTAAGAGGTGATAGTGACCCAAACTTTTCAAGTAACCAAAGACTCAAAATAGTAAGAGTATGCTGAACTGACATTACCTGAGGCCCACCAATAACAAATCTGCCACTTGGCTGCAGATGGTAGATGGTATCCTCATCAAGATATTTTGGAGGTACAACAGCTTTGATGACCTTCTCTTTCAGGGCATCCCTCATCTCATCAAGACAAACCTCTTCATCATGCTGAACAGATATAACGATTGTGTGGACTCTGATGGGAAGCACAGCACCTCGATCTTGCATATACTGCACAGTCACCTTGAAGTAAACACAGGTTATCAGAACACTTAATTCCACCAGTTTTGTACTTGGTTCTCTATCAAGTTACAATACAGTGCTGGGCATGGTGGTATATGTCTAATCTCGGTGGCTCAGGAGGCTGAGGCCAAGGACTGAGTTTAAAGCTAGCCTCAGCAATAGTGAGGCACTAAGGAAAACTCAGTGAGACCCTGTCTCTATAAATAAAATACAAACAAGGCTGGGAAGTGGCAGAGTGCCCCTGAATTCGATCCCCAGTACCAAAAAAAGAAAATTATAATGAGCAAATATGTTATTCTTGGCAGTCCTCAAATTCATGGATTTTCCTACAAAGTAATTTTAGGCAATATAGCTTTAAGATCACTTACTTGAGTTTTTGAATCTGGGCGTAACCAAGGCAAAGTGCCGTTGCGGCGTAGTTCTGCCAGTTTGGCATTTAGCTTGTGTGCTAAGACAATGGTTAAAGGCATACACTCCTCAGTTTCATCGGTGGCATAACCAAACATCAAGCCCTGAAAAAAAGAGCCAGTGATGTAACACTAAAGCTTAATTTAATGTTAGAAGAGACATAAATAGCCTTTCACAATACCTGGTCTCCTGCACCAATGTCTTCCTCATTTCGGTCAAGATGAACACCTTGAGCAATATCTGGTGACTGTTGCTCCAAGGCCACCAGCACATTACAAGTCTTATAGTCAAACCCTATAAACAAAAATGTCTTTTAAGAACAAAAGGCCACAATACCCACTCTGTTCACAATTACTTGGAATTCTAAATACTGCTACTGCTGAAGAAATCAGATACAGTAGCAACTCCTTAGCCATGGTTTCACCTTCCACTCACACTTTCAGTTACCTCAAAATTGTAAATGGAAAATTCCAGAAATTTGTGATTTTCTAAAAAAAAAAAAAAAAAAAAAAAAAAAAATTGCCCTGAGTGTGATGAACTCTTCCCTTCCCAGGACATAAATCATCATCCAGATACATGCTACCCACTGGCTAAATCACTTAACTATTGAAATGTCTTGGCATAACAGTGGCTTTATGTTCAAATAAACTTAATAGCCCAAAAGCATAAGAATAATGCTAATACTTTGAATATGCCAAGAAAAGCAATAGTGTGTCTCAAAGCAAACAAGTGCAAGTTCTGAAGGGGAAAAGATGGCCAGGATTGCTAAGATCTATGGTACAATAGACATTTTGTCAGATCACATTTATAACTTGTACACTAACTTCCATCTTATTTTTGCAAATCTAATGTACCTCATTTATGTTAGCATAACTGTAGCCAAGTATCTACGGGGAAAAAATATTCGTCAGTTTCAGCCATCTGCTAGTCTTAGAACATTGTCCTCCACGGCAAAGTGAGACTATAATACCAAAACGTCATACTATATCTATATAACCAGAGTTAAGGATTACTAGGAACATTCTAGAAGACAGTTTCAACCATTACATCTAAACATAAGCTTAGAAAAAAAGCAAAATGAAAACACACCTTTGGAAGAATCATCATATCCAATGTGCTTAATGGCTTCCCGAACCACTTTCTGGTAGTCAATGGCAGCTCTTGATGTAATTTCCCCAGCAAGAAGAATCATCCCAGTTTTAGCAACAGTTTCTAATAAAGGAGAGATTCACACACAAAAAACATTTTTATAAATTAGTTCTCCCAACTTTACCTTTATAATCAGGCAATAAACAAGCACATGTTCTGAACCTACCACAAGCCACTTTGGCATCAGGGTCCTGTTGAAGATGGGCATCAAGGACAGCATCACTGATTTGGTCACAAATCTTATCTGTGGGGGAAAAAAATCAATTTCTTTTACTATTGAAGTATGGGATGCCCCTTTCTCTATGAACTGGAAAAAAAAAACTTTGTTGAGGAAAAAAAAAGGAAGGGGGGTTTAAGAGGTGCTTTACCACATCTACACTCAGCTGTGCCCCACCCCATTTCCATTTATTTTGAGACAGAGTTTCAAAAGGTTGCTAAGGCCTAAATTGTGGAGGCTGATGCCTCCAACTTGTGCTCCTCCTGCTGCCTTGGCCTCCTGATCGCTGGGACTGCATGCATTTACCACTGTGCCCAGCTAGGAGAGGAAAAAAAAATACTGAGATTTTACTTTTTTATTTTGAAACATCATAAAAACTTTGAAGTGAATCATTCAGTGCATTAAGTATGATCGTAACTGCTGCTTTTTGTAAAGCACTGCTTTACCAGAAGCAGTCTGCCTGAATAATAAATGCTGGACACAGGAGTCCGTGTTACTTAAAAACTTGACACAGCGGTCTTAATATAGTCGCACAAGCTCACTGACTCAGTCAGCCAGCAGAACCCTCGAGATATCCAATACACATCCACCCATTATGATGTGTGCACTTGACACCTCCCAAGGACTTCGGGGCCACCTCTAAAAAGCCAGAGGTTCTGAAATACAGTTCCAAGCCTAACCATTCCAATGTTCTCGTCCATCGCCACTGTCACCTACCAGACCCTGGTCCCGGGGGCCCTGGGAGAACAAACCCTGGCAGGCACCACAGCCTTTAATCGGTGCAGCACAACCGCACACCGGTGAACTCGTGGCTGCGCACTGGCACGTGCACACGATGTGGCAGGACAATCTGGCCAGTGTCATCAGGCTCCTGGTGTCAAGGGACACTCAAAGAATTAAGCCATGAAAGGAAACAGCCACGAACAAAAGGAGTGACCCAGCGGCCATCCGGCTGTGTCATCAGAGCGGCTCCGGAATAGGCTCGGCGGCGCCAGTCCCTCGGCCCCCACCTACGTCACCCGTTCTAGGAAGGGGGAGTAACCTCCAACACGCTCGAATTTTCCAGACAGCCCGAAAAACGCGCCACCGGCCAGGCCCAGGTGGCCCCGCGCGTCGCGCTTAAGGGCGGCGCGCCCAGCCCAGCCCACCCCGCGGACACGATGCCCTCCTGAGGCGCGGGCCCGGCTCACTATGGCGGCCACACACAAAGCCGGGAAGCGGCGGGGGCGCCGGCCTGGCGGAGGTCCCCCCGCAGCGCTGCCCGCGCGCCCGCGCAGGCCTCGCCACGTGCCGCCGCCGGGCTGCAATGCGGAGCGCGCACCCACCGCGGGCGCGCGCGGGGCGGGCCGCCTACGGAGGGCTCCCGCCGCGGGCCCGCGGAGCCGCCCTCCCGCAGAGCCCGCCACCCCCCTTCTGGAATCTTCCGCGGGCCGGGCGCGCGACCGGGTGGGGGAGGGGCGCGCCCCCGCCTCACCTGGGTGGCCTTCCCCCACAGACTCCGAGGTGAAGAGGAACGTGCCCTCCTCGATGAACGCCTCGTGGAAGCCGTTGAGCTGACCGTTCATGTCGGCGATGGCGGCAGAAGAGCGGCACTGAGGAGCGGACAGACCGGCGGCGGAGGCGCAACACACGGACGAGGAAGAACACTCGGTCAGCGGCGGCGAGGCGAGCAGGACGGCGGGCAGCGCGGTCCGATATTTATAGCGCGGAGCCCGCAGGCCCCGCCCCAGGTCCCGCCCATGCGCGCGGGGAGGTGCGGCCGCGCAGGGCAGAACCATCGCGGGGTGGGGGGATCCTGCGAGCGTTGGTCCCCGGCGGGCGTCAGCCATCCGGGGCCGTCACGACCGGTGGAGAGAGACGCGAGAGGACTGCTTCGACGTTCGCTCCCTGTCGACGAGGGACGAACGGCGACAGGGCTCCAGGGGCCGTCCCCCGCGCCGTGACATGGCACCGCCCTTCCGGCCGTTGCAGGCCAGAGTCCGCGACCGCCCCCAGCGGCGGTGGCTGGAAGCGCGGCTTTTGTATTGGCAGTGCGGGGCTCCGCGCCGCGCGCCCCAGCGGCCGGGACCGAGGCGGGTGCCCGCCCGAGGCCCGAGGGCTGTGGCTAACGGCCTGGGGGAAGATGGCGGCCGCCGGTGGGCGAGGGGACGGCGGACCGTGCTGGGCACTTCGGTCGCGTGCTCGGAGCGGCTGGGAACGCAGGCCTGAGTTTTCCCAGAAGCCGCCCAGGCCCGCGACCGCGCTCGGCCGTTCCACGAAGCTCTAGCTTTGCAGTGCCCACTTGGCTGGTCCCGGTCTTGTCCATGAACGGAATTACAGGGAAGGAGAAAGAAAACAGACCGAGCCAGCAGGAGCAGGAGTCGCCCCCGGAGAGTCATGGCCAGGCAGGGTCACTCAACCTGGGCAGGGGTCATTGTGGCCCCGGGGAACACAGGCGGGGTAGGTCGTTTCTGCCAGGGAGCCACAAGTAGGCGGAGCTGCTCATGCGGCACTGGGGCAGGTGTCTAAATGACCCCAAGGAGCCGTGGGGAGTGGGACTCACTCATTCAGGGTCATGTGGACCTCGCGGAGCCATGGCCAGGCAAGGTCACTCATCCCTGCAGGGGCAGAGGGTACAGTGGCCCACGTTGGTGACAAGGACACCAGGCCCTGGTGTCCGGAACAGTTTGCTCCCATCATGGGAGGATGCACTTCACCTCATGAACTGAACAGACCTCTGACAGGCTCCAGCTCCTGCTACCAGAGAAGTAGGTAAATTCTGGAGAGTGGGGAGCGGAGGGAAATGAGGGTTTGTGGGCTGTGCTAGGGGCTTTTACAAAAAAGAAAGGGCGCTCCCCAGACTTAAGATCATCAGGGTCAAAGCGGGCAGCCAGAAAAGATTAAGTCACAAAAGACATGGTATTTTTACTTTTTTTTTTTTTTATTTACTTTGTACTTGTAGTTGGACACAATACCTTTATTTTATTTATTTTTACGTGGTGCTGAAGATCCAACCCAGGGCCTCCCACATGCTAGGCAAGTGCTCTACCACTGAGCCACAATTCCAGCCCCTTTACTTGGTTTTTATTTTTCAAACTAACCCTTCATAGAAAAATAACTATAAAACTACTTGATAATTTCTTTGTTTCAACGTCATTTTTAAAAAGTAGAAAGCCAGTTTATTAACAATGAGTATAAACATTGTCAACAGCAATAAAGTGCATGTGTAGACTAGTCAGTGTCAGTGCATTATCTCCCTGCAGAAAAATCTATATGGGAAGCCAGAATGTAATTAGAAGGTTATTTTATTAATAGGGAGGAAGAAGAAAAGGATTAAATTCAATGATTAGCTCATTAGCTCCTGATACCCCTTTGCTACCAACCTCACTGTTGGGCTGATCCTGCCGGGGAGATTAGAGTCAGCTGCACCACTTACTTACCTACTTCTCTTTCTCTTAGCAAGGGTAATTGGTAGTTACCAGCTGGAGCTGAAGTTAGGCCTCTGCCAAGACCCTCTTCATACAGACCTGTCTGTAAAATTGGGACAATAATAGTCATCATAGGTTTGTTTAAAGGATTAAATGAAATGATAGAAGTACATTCTTTAGCACAATGTCTAGCCCATAATAGGTATTTTTAAAATATATGCTGTAAAAAATTAGCTCTTCCTGCAAATAACTTTTCACTGGCTTTCAAGTGCTCTTAGGAGAAAGGTTAAAATCCCTACATATGCTGGGTGTGGTGGTTCACAACTATACTCTCAGCAACCCAGGAGGCTGAGGCAGGAGGATCATGAGTTCAAGGCCTGTCTCAGCAAGTTAGTGAGGTCCTGAGCAATTTAGTGAAAACCTGTCTCAAAATAAAAACTGAAAAGGGCTGGGGATGTGACTCAGTGGTTAAACACCCCTGGGTTCAATCCTCAGTACAAAAACAAAAAACCTACATACTCTAAAGGCCTGAGTGTGGCTTGGCTGCTGCTTCAAGTTTATCTTTCTGTTGTCTACCTTGAATTTCTTATAGTTAGCAACAGTTCAAGTTATTGATTCCCATCAAAATAAAGTGAGACATGGGCTGGGCCTATAACTCAGTGGCAGAATGCTTGCCTAGCATGTGTGAGGCACTGGTTTCCATTCTTAGCACCACATAAAAATAAATAAAGGCATTCTGTCCACCTACAACTACAAAAATAAAAAATAAAATAAAGTAAGACAGCTGGGCGTGGTGGGGCTCACCAATAATTCCAGTGACTCTGGAGGCTGAGGCAGGAAGATCATGAGTTCAAAGTCAGCCTCAGCAATGGCGAGGTGCTAAGCAACTCAGTAAGACCCTGTCTCTAAATGAAATACAAAATAAGGCTGGGATGTGGCTCAGTGGTCAAGTGCCCCTGGGTTCAGTCCCCTGTAACTAAAAAAAAAAAAAAAAAAAAAAAGGAGAGGAAGGAAAGGAAGCAGAAAAATGGCAGAAGAAAGTGGGGCAGGGAAGAGGCCCGGTGACCCGGGAGGTCCAGGAGAGGAGGCCGGCTGGTCTCTAGCAAGGCACTGTGATCAACAGTATTAAGAGCTGCCCTCTTGGAGAAAGTGCAGGCCACCTGTTCTGACTTCACAGGTTACTGCCCCGAGGGCCAGACAGACTGGTAGAGGTCCTTCGTTGGTTCCATAGTGAGCATTAATGAACTTGTTGAATGTGGGATGGTGTAAAGCACATGGGGAAATCTATTCCCTGTCTTCTTTGGGCTCTAGCCTTTTCAACCCAGAGAACACTCAGGGAGCAGTCTTCCCTGAGAGTGCAGAGCTGGGCCTGCATAAAGTGGTTTTCAGGGCTCAGACAGTCTTACCTGTCTGCCTGTCAAGGAGAGAGTTCAGGAAGACAGAGCATTTGCAGGCCAAGAAGCTGTTGGTGTGGCCAGAGAGGAAGAGGAAGATGGTGCCGCGGACAGCCAAGAGCATAGCCACAGTGGGAGGCCTGGAGAAGGAGGCGATGGGCTATGAGTCTCAGAGCAGCTGCCAGGTGAAGGTGAGCAGGGAGAAAAGTCTCCAAGGTTCGGCCAGCCCTTTAGGGGCAAAGTCCGGAGTGTCAGATGGCCTTAGGAGAAGGCCAAGTCCAGTGAATCAGAAGCAATGACTGTATGCAGCCTTCATCTTTAGGCTGTTTGTATTTTGTTTATATTTCTGTGATTTTTCTCTCATCACAATCAAACCCTTTTGCATCTCAGTCAAGAAGCGCAGGATGGAGAAGTGCATGGGGGGCAGTGGAGACACAGTGGTACCTTTTTGAGGGGCCCTGTTGTGAGGTCTAGTGCCCTCATCACAGCACTAGTTCCTTCTTTGTCTTAGATGAGAACCCCCATGTGCTCCACCCAAGTCACTGTGGAGTCGTGGTGCAGCTGGGACTGGAACCTGGATCTAAGCCCAGGTCCCTGTGCAGACACCAAGCAGCACTGCCCAAGGCAGTGAGAAGTGGTGTCCATCCCCCACACCTTTTCCTTTTAACACACACTAAACAATTCAGAGAAATGTGGGTTTTCTCCTAACAATTTTTATGACCATCTCTCTGGGATACTGTGGATATTAAATCATTTTCCTTCTATTTTTATTGTGGGAAAATACACAGAATATAAAGTTTGCCATTGTAACTGTTTACAGCTCTGTGGCAATCGGCCTCATTGTGCCTGTGTACTCTTTTTATTAGCAGTTAGGTGTGCTTAGTGGACGCCCATCAATGGGTTTAACTGTTGCTTCGTTGGTTGATGTTCACGTTGTTTCTTGCCTGCCATCTTTGCACATGTACTTTTGTGAAGCAATGTTCTGTGTGTGTGTGTAAAGTATTCGACTGTAGCTGAGCTTGGTGGCGCATGCCTGTAATCCCAGCAGCTCCAGAGGCTGAGGCAGGAGGATCACAATTTCAAAGCTTAGGGCCTTGCAACTTAGCAAGGCCCTAAGCAACTCAGTGAGACCCTGTCTCTAAATAAAATATGTTAAACAAAGAAAAAGGCTGGGGATGTGGCTCAGTGGTTACGTGCCCCTGGGTTCAAACCCCAGTACTAAATAAATAAATAAAATATTTCCAAGATGGGATAGATGAGACACAGATATGTACATTCTTACCTGTTAGTAATTGCAGCCAGAGAACTTTCCAGATGGCTGTCAGAACTCACATTCTCAGTAGGGAGTGAGTATCATTTTCTAATTCACCAAATGCTGGATGTTATTGCTTTTTAAAATTTTTGTAAGTATGAAAAATGGTAAAAGAATATTTTTATAACCTTGGCAGACTTTTGCAAGTAAGATAGAAACCACAAAAGACTGATAAGATTTAACAACATAAAAATGAAAACTCACTTTATAAATAAAATCCAAAGACAGACAACTTGGGAAAACGTTTTCAACATATAAGACAGACAAAGGGTTAATACCAATTAGTGAAAAAGGAAGAACTGTGCAGCTGCGCAGCCTGTCATCCCAGCTACTCAGGAGGCTGAGGCAGGAGGATTTCTGTTCAAGGCCAGCCTCAGCAACTTAGTGAGACCCTGTCTCAAAATAAAAAGATAGGTTGGGGATGTGGCTCAAGGGGTAGCGCGCTCGCCTGGCATGCGTGCGGCCCGGGTTCAATCCTCAGTACCACATACAAAACAAAGATGTTGTGTCCACTGATAACTGAAAAATAGATATTAAAAAAATTCTCTCTCTCTCTCTCTCTCCCTCACTCTCTCTTTAAAAAATAAATAAATAAATAAATAAATAAATAAATAAATAAAAAGATAAAGAAGCTAAGAATGTAGCTCAATGGTAAAGAGCCTCTGGGTTCAATCCCCAGTACCAAAATATAAATAAATATAATGAAAACTAGTGGAAAGATTGCAAGTAGATAGTTTACCAAGATGAAAGTGGAAATTACCAATAAACATGAAAAGATGTTCAGCCTCAAAATTCATTTGCATAGTGAGTTTGGGAAAAGCCACGGCCATGGAGGTGGGGAGGGGTGGACGGAGGAGAAATCCAGGGAACAGGATGCTGTGCTCCCCAGAGTGTGGCCTCTGGGGAGCTGCATGATGCAGATGGCGCCTTCCAGAGGGGTGCCATTCCTGGGATACGCAGGAACTGGAATCTCCCAGGATTCCAGTCTCCTTGCCTCCACGGGAGACAGTCCTCTGGATGGAGCCAGGTCTGCTTGTGGCAAAGGCTGCTGCTCCCCGCTTAGGGACTTTCTGGCACTGTTTCTGCCCCAGCCTGTCCAGCACCCTGTCTGCTGCTGAGAGCATGGCTCTGCTCCTGGTTCAGGGTCCCGTGTCAGGGGGGTGGCTCATCTCTGCTGTGGTGCACTTCCCAGCCAGCCTGCAGCTTCTCTTCCAGCCTTCTGATCCCAACAATCAATGTGTCATCTGGGGACCCTTCAGGAGAACACCTACCCCCTCTGGAGAGAGGACTTGGTTTTAGACCTGCCCTCAGCTCTGGCTCCCCTGTCTGCCTGCAGCTGTGCCCCACTAAGACCGTTTATTGCTTTCATTCCCATACCCAGCTTTGCTTGCTGTGCTCCTGGGCCCCCTGACCTGCCTTCTCATCTGTTGACTCTTTTCCCTTGTGTTTGGATCAGTGTATTTGGACAGACCTCCCTGTAACTGATATCTGACTTGATCTCAGGATCCTCCCACTGTAAACTGTCCTCACCTCCGTCCAGCAGCCACAGGATGACCATGCTCTGTGCCCTGGTAACTGAGGATGTTGGGGCAGAAACAGTAAGGAATTCCTTTATCTAATCCCTATTTTTCATCTTGCCCAGGTTCGCCCTGAGGGAGGATGGGGCCGCACCCAGGACAGAAAAGGCATAAGTCAGAGGATGCTGACTGGGGGCCAGCCAGACATGGTGACCACAGAAGCCGAGACCCTCTCTGCTGGGAGCAGAGTACAAGCCTTATCCCTAAATTTAGCCTGTAGCAATCCTTTATGTGCAGTCCTGAGGGACCATGGCACTTCCCAAGGAAGGCAGCCCCGTAGAATGCGTGGTAGAAGGACCCTCTACCTGGACAGACTTGCACTGGGGGCACTTCCTGTGTGACCTTGACTTCCAGGAGGAGCCTGATTCCTGCACCAGTGAGCACCTCTTCATGCAGACGGCAGAGGTCATGGCCTCCCACGGCTGGAAGAACACAGGTTCTGAGGACCTCTGCACTGGCCACTCTGGATAGCTCCCCAAAGAGACTGAAAAGGCACACTTCAGGGAGACCCTCAGTGCATTTGTGGTGGGAGCTGCCGCCAGGCTGATTATGTCCATGGCAAAGGGCCGAAGCCAGGGATCGATGCAGATGTTGGAAATGTAACCTGCAAGGGTTTCCTGGGAGCTTGGACACTGTGACATGATGCCCAGTCCTTGGCTGACTGGGAGCAGATCTGCAGAAGTGCCGCTGCTGTCACGTGACTGTGGGAGACATTTGGCAGATGGTCAGAAGCAGGTCACTGGCTCTGAATGGGACCAGCAAAAGCATCGTATGCGCCTGTGAGTGGCCCCTTTACACTGTACCCTGTCATGGTCCCAATTACACAGAAATCTGACAGCACTGTAATTACTGGAGAAATTCTACAAACATCTACAATTCCTGGGAAAGTATAAACGGCATCTTGACCTGAATAGCTTCTAACCAGGAAAGGATTGTTAATGTCGCTGGACCAGGGATTGGAATGACCCAGATAAGTTAGAGATGGGCAACTTTGGCCTCAGCTGGGGCAGCAGTGATGCAGATGGCCCCTGGCCATCAGGGCAGCTCTTTTGCCCGTGCCTGACGACCTCTGACACATCATCCCTCAAACCAAGGCTCTGCTTCAGGACAAGGACGTAACTGCCATCACCTAGGACCCCTGGGCAAGCAGGACTCTGTACTCAGAAAGGAAGGTGGTGTGCACCTCTCTCTGGTGAGGCCAGGGCTGTGGCCATAGTAAATCTGCAGGAGATGGGAGGACTCTGCTCTCACTCTGCCTGGCCTGCTGCTCTGGGCGGAGGCCAAGCTTGTCAGCTGGCCTGCCAGGTTGCCCAGCTCCTCTCTGTGAAGAGGGAGCTTGGGCTCTTGATCAGGCTTTGGCCTTGAAAACTTGTATAACAAACCAGACCATAGAAAAAAAGTGGACTTTAGTGGCCAGGGCTTAGCTAGGCGGCATAGCATGTACCAATCCTGCACAAGGCCCCGGGTTCACACCCCAGTATCCCCCAAAATCCATCTTAAAATGTACAGTATACAGTATACAGTAGTTCCAATTTCAGAAAATGTTATTCAAGGATATAGCTGTATTGCTGCTAAGTGACCAACAGGTGGGCATTGTATACGGCATGGACACACTGGACAAGGACAACAGGTGTCTTGGCGAGGTGGAGCTGCCCAGGCAAGGGCCATGCAGGGCCTACGGATCGCCCATCTCTGGCCTCCCGCTTACCAATTCTGAAGCACAGTGGGCCACAGTACGGCAGCGGAGAGGGCTTGCAGGTGGAGGTCTGCTGACATTGTCAGGTGATGACCCTGCCCCTCCCTCCTCCTCCACCCTCACTTAAAAAGCTGTTTTCTTGAATAACATTTTCTGAAGTTGGAACTCTTTTAAAGCAAACAAAAGTCTTACCTGGCTCTCTGTTTACTACTCAGACCACTTAACAATAAAGCAAACATGATTTATTTTTATTTTTATTTTTCTTGGGGTCTTGCTGTCTTGCCCAGGCTGCCAGGATATTTGGGCTTGTGCAATCCACCTGCCTCAGCCTTCAAAGCTGGGACTACAGGCACTGCTGCCACCCCTGGCTTAAAAAACAATTTCAGGGGCTGGATTGCTGTGTGAGGTTGTTTTTTGTTGTTGTTGTTTTAAGTACAGGGGATTGAACTCAGGAGCACTCGACCACTGAATCACATCCCCAGCCCTATTTTATATTTCATTTAGAGGCAGGGTCTCTCAGAGTTGCTTAGCACCTCAGTTTTGCTGAGGCTGACTTTGAACTCATGATCCTCCTGCCTCAGCCTCCCAAGCTGCTGGGATTATAGGCATGTGCCACCGTGCATGGCCTGCTGTGTGACTTTTGTTTGTTGGTCTTTAACTCAAAGAAATTTTAAAAATAATTGGTGATGCCAGGGGCGGTAGTGCATGCCTGTGATTCCAGCAGCCCAGAGGCTGACACAGGAGGATGGCAAGTTCCAAGCCAGCCTCAGCAACTCAGTGAGGTCCTGTCTCAAAAAATAAAAAGGACAGGTGATGTGGCTTAGTGGTTAAAGTGTCCGTGGGTTCACCCTCCAGTACCAAATTTTTTTTTAAAAGTCTAAAAAATTTGTGAGTATTAAATTTCTATGGTATTTATATTAAAAGTGATAGTTTATAATATTTAAAATGCCAGTATTTTGTCTTTTTTTTTTTAATATTTATTTTTTAGTATTTGGCAGACCCAACATCTTTGTTTGTGGTGCTGGGGATCGAACCCGGGCCGCACGCATGCCAGGTGAGCGCGCTACCGCTTGAGCCACATCCCCAGCCCTAAAATGCCAGTATTGATAATATGCTGAAAATTAAAACTACTTCAATTACACTTAAAATGAAAAACTTCACAAGTATCTGGGTTCAATCCCCAGCATATCTCTCTCTCTCTCTCTGTCTCTCTCTCTCTCTCTCTCTCTCACACACACACACACACACACGCACACAAAATAAAATTTTTAGATATCTACTCAAAATGTGTTGGTAACATGATTTTTTCCCAATATTCATTTCTAGTTGTAGTTGGACAAAATACCTTTATTTTATATATTTTATGTGGTGCTGAGGATCGAACCCAAGCCCTCACACATGTTAAGTGAATGCTCTACTGCTGAGCCCCAGCCCCAGCCCAGGTAACATGATTTTTAAAAATTATTTTTGGAAGCCAGGTATAGTGGTGCATACCTGTAATCGCAGCAGCTCAGGAGGCTGAGGCAGGAATATTGTGAGTTCAAAGCCAGCCTCAGCAATGGCGAGGTGCTAAGTAACTCAGTGAGACCCTGTCTCTAAATAAAATACAAACAGGGCTGGGGATGTGGCTCAGTGGTCAAGTTCCCCTGAGTTCAATCCCTGTTACCCCCCAAAAAAATACATATAGTGCTGGGCCAGGTGGTATACACCTATAATTCCAGCGGCTCAGGAGACTGAGGCAGGAGGATATGAGTATTGTGAGGATTGTGAGTTCAAAGCCAGCCTCAGCAACTTAGCAGGGCCCTAAGCAACCTAGAGAGACCCTTTCTCCAAATAAAACATAAAAAAGGGCTGGGGATGTGGCTCCTTGATTGAGGACCCCTGGGTTTAATTCCTGGTACCTGGCCCCCAAAGTGGTGCTGGACAACTGGACTGTGGTGTGACAGAGGGGTTTCGACCTGCCTCACACCATATGTAAAGATCAGCTCAAGAGTGGGGGCGCATAGCTCTGTGGTAGAGGGCATGCGTACCACATGAAAGGTCCTGGGCTCTGTCACCAACATGAAAGAAAAATCAACTCAAAATGAATGAAGATTCAGGTCTAAAAACTAAAACTGTACAAGTCCCAGAAGAAAATAGCAGAAAATGTTAACGATTTTGGAGTAGCCATTAATTTCTTAGATATAACACCAAAAGCACATGTAAAAAAACAGGGGCTGGGGTTGTGGCTCAGCGGTAGAGCGCTAGCCTGGCATGCACGAGGCCCTGAGTTCGATCCTCAGCACCAATAAAAATAAACAAAATAAAGGTATTGTGTACAACTAAAAAATAAGTATTAAAAATAGAAAAGCACATATAAAAAAAAACCAGAAAAATTAGGTGTCTCTCACTAAAGGATACCAACAACTAAGTAAAAAGACAATCCACAGACTCATAGAAAATATACAAATCCTATGTCAGACAAGGATCTAATGTCCAGAATATATAAAGAACTCTCACAATTCAACAATTAAAAGACAAATAACCCAGTTAAAGAATGAACTAAGGATTTGAACTGACATGTCTGTAAAGAAGACAGACAAATGTCCTGTAAGTACTCAAAGATGCTCAACATTATTGGTTACTGGGGAAATGCAAATCAAAACCACAGTGAGATACCACCTCACACCCATGAAGATGGCTAAAATAAAAAAGATGGACCATAACCCACAGGATGGACCATAACCCGCATTGAAGAGGATGTGGAGAAATCTGAGCGTCCGCACTCTGCTGGGGAAGTGGAAATGGGCAGAGTTTGGGAGTTTCTCAGTTAGGCAGAGTTGTTCCATGAGCCAGCAATTCTGTGGTGGCAAAACCAGACCTGGTTGTGAAATGAAATTACAAAACATTATGGTAAGAAACCAAGGCCTGGGGAGGGGTCAGTTTTGCCCACCTCTCTCAGCCTTTCTCCAGGAAGCCTAATTAACCAGGAGTCCCTACTTTATGGATTGTAAATAACTGCCCTAGTCTGGCCAGTCCCTCTTAAATGTAACAGAGGCCTGTAAGAAAAAGCCATTTCCTGTCTGTTTCTGTGAGGGTGCTTCACGTTAGAGACCCAAACAGGCCTTCAGCCACTTAGGAATTTTAGGGGGGATGGTGGTGGTTTAGGGGATTGAACTCAGGGGCACTTGACCACTGAGCCACACCCCAGCCCTGTTTTGTATTTTATTTAGAGACAGGGTCTCACTGGGTTGCTTAGGGCCTCGCTGTTGCTGAGGCTGGCTTTGAACTCACGATCCTCCTGCCTCAGGCTCCAAGCTGCTGGGATTACTGGCGTGCACTACCACCCCTGGCTAGATTAGGATTTTGTTGTTTTTTTGTGGTGCTGGGGACTGAACCCAGGGCTTTGTGCAAGCACTCTACCAACTGAGCTACATCCTCAGACCCAGGAATTTTTTTAAAAAGAGGAAAAAGCCCCAAGGATAGGATTGGTCTAAGATGACGTCAATAACCTATAAATGTTGTGAGAAACTACTCAGAATCGGGAGTTTTTGTTTTCCTCTGGGCCCACTAGTGTAAAATAAAGTTTGGAGTTCTCCTTCTGAGTGCTGCTTGCTGCTGCTGGACGGGTCTGTTTCCCACAACAATTCCACTCCTGCATCCGGGAGAGGTACAACGTGTCTACAGAAACTCCTGTGCACAAATGTTCATACCAAGCTTTACATAGTAGTTAGAGGTGGGAACAATCGATGTCTATGAACTGATGTACGTATAAACAAAATGTGATAATCCATCCCTACGATGGAACATTATTTGGCCATAAAAAGGGAATGATGTAGGGCTGCGGATGTGGCTCAAGCAGTAGTGTGCTCACCTGGCATGCATGCAGCCCGGGTTCAATCCTCAGCACCACATACAAAGATGTTGTGTTCGTCGAAAACTAAAAAATGAATATTGAAAAAATTCTCTCTCTCTTAAAAAAAAAAAAAAGGAAATGATGTACTGATACATGCACACATAGGGATAAACCTCGAAGACATTACGCCAGGTGACAGGAGACCATATGCTGACCAGAGCTTCCTGTGTAACATGTGCAGGGGACGCAAATCCACACATTCGGAAGTTAGAAGAGTGGAGCTGGGGATAGGGAGTAGGGAGTGGAGAGTAGCTACTAATGGTACAAGGCTTCTTTGAGGGGTAATGAAATGTTGTGAAGTTAGTGCTGCTGGTTATGCAGTTCTGAGCACCACAAAAGTCTGTGGACTCTATCTCAATAAAAATCTTGTTTCAAGTTTGGAAGCTGGGTGTGGTGGTGCACACCTGTCATCTACACACACGAGTATGTGAATGTAAGTCATATAGTAGTTGCAACTCTTTGTTGTTGGTGGTGATGGTGCAGGGAAATCAGACCCAGGCCTCGTGCATGCTAGGCAAGCCTGTCCCAGCCAAACTTAGACCATCTCATCGTTGGCATTTTCCATGTCTTCACACAGTCTCTGTAATCATGACCACAGAGCACCCACAGTGGTCAGTACAGAGGGTTGGCCAGTCCCTCTAGCCCAGCACTCTGTGAGTGAGCTCCTTGGAGGCCACAGTCCTCTTCGGTTTGGAATTCTTTCTGGAAGAGCGTCCCAGCATAGTCAGGTTGAAGCAGCCGTCCTGGGCCAGAGCTTCTGGGTTGGAGTTGAGTGGCCGAGGGTCTGGCCGGGTCCCTGGCCACCTGTTCCTGATGTCATCACAGAATGGCAGGAGGAAGGTGGTGGCTGCCCCATCTTGATACCAAAGAGCAACCAGCAAGTGGCCAGATACCAGTGGACAGAAGCATGCCACTATAGCCCCTTCCTGGGGCTTTCTGGGACTCTTCAATCCTCTTTGATAGCGGAGTCTCCAAACTTGGGTAAAGAAAGGTGAAACTCTTAACTCCCTGGGAGCCTGGGAAATGGACTACACGCCCAGACTTGGCCGGCAACCACCATGCCATGCAGGCAGAGATCGGAAGAGTTAGCAAGAATAAGCACAGCCACTGGAGGAAGAAGATGCAGTCCCAGCACCGGGTCCAAAGAGGGCCAGGCCAAAGGAGGTTCCATTTTGTGTCAGATTGGAAGACAAACAAAAGTTTGGTAACATCCATGTTTGCAGGATGAAACAGAAATCCGATGCTCCTGGTCATTGTTGCCCGGAGTGTAAACAGTTTCTCATTTCCAGAGGGCAATCGGCAAGGTCTGTCAACATTTGAATATTTGTGCTCTTGACTCATCACTTCTGCACTGGGAATCTGCCCCAGGGAGATACAGACAAAATAGGCCCCAATCATGTGCAAAGCTGTCCCCTGCAACATTGTTACAACAAGGAACAGAAAGTGCTGGAGCTCGGGGCAGCTCCCTCAGCCAGCGGACCTGGACCTGGGGGGCAAGGTCGGGCTCACAGACAGGGTAGAACTGTGCGCTTTGAGAAAAGACCGGCACTGCCGGCAGCCCCATTTGTGTTAGACTGAAACAGTAGACACAGACCTTTCCCAGGAGGGCCACAAAACCAGGGACTGTGACTTTTGCAGAGTGGTTCTGGGGCAGGGAGAAGGTGATGTTCTCACTGTGACACTTTTCTGCCGTTGAAATGTTTATTCCGGATGAATGTGAGACTACATTAAAATACAGAAAGCTTTGCAAGTAGACAAGGCTTGTGGAGAGAGAAAGGAGGGGGAGAAGGGGCCCTGGCATCAGGGAGAGTCGGTTGTCATGACCTGGACAGCCTTGTAAAGCCACACTAGTGGGCACCTGGGTGGCGGGTTTGGCCCAAGGAGGGACTCAGAAGGGAGGACAGGGTCAGCCACTGGAAGAGGGTGGCAGAAAACCACAAGCTCAGTTTTGAAGGGAGGGGCTGAGGAAGCCCTGTGCACAGCTGATCACCGGATCCTGGGTGGAGGACAGAGCCTGGGTCTGACGTGTATTAGGTGGCCTTGCAAGACGCAGCACCAGTGAAGGTGGTCAAGGGAGCTCAGCATAAGGAGATTGTGAGCTAAGAGGCTGCTCCTGTGCCAGGGACAGCCTAACCCTCAGGGTTGAGCTGGGGAAGTGACCGGGAGCTGAGAGTGACCAAAAGAAGCCAGGAGGGCCTGGGGGCACGAGTCATTACTGCTGCTGACTTCAGCCAGCCCTCGCAGCCCAGCTGCCCTGGCAACATCTGCCCAGCAAGGTCCCTCTCATAGGTTTTGTTTCTGCTCCTGAAAGAGGCCCTCCAGCCAATGGGACAGATCCACCTCCCCTGAGGGCTGACACCGTATACCCCTAAGCTTCTACCTCCTTCTCCGTGGCTCTGATTCCTGTGTGTCCTAGATGCCACGTGCTCCCTTCCCTCCTCTCATCCACCTTCATCTCCGTCTTGCCTACCTTTATGGCCACGCCCAGCTCCACGTCCTTCTGGCAGGCTATCCTGCCCTGTCTCATGTATGGCTGCAGACAGGTCCCCTCCTAGACCCAGCTCCTGCCTCCTTTCCAGAGGTAGCCTCCTGCAGCGTCTCCTCGGGTCCCATGCCATCCCAGCGACAGGTCACAGAGTCCCTGTCAGAAGCTCCCCTCTAGGACCCTCTCCGCACACCCTAGGATGCCCGCGGACACTGGCCCAGCCCGGCCCCTGCATCTGCATCCTCCAGTCTGAGCCTGGTTGGAGCATGACTGGCAGGGACAGTGTGAGGACAGTGGGCTGGGCTGGGGGCTGTCTGCCCTACCAAGTAGCCAGGGGTCCTTTTGGACTAGCCTCAAGCTTGTTTTTGTTTTTGTTTACTTTAGACAAACCGTGTGAGGCACAAGCTCGACATTTGCAGGGTGCCCTGTGGATAACACCAGAAATCTTTCTCCAGACGTGTCTGTTCAATTTCTAACTTTAGGCCTCAGGGTTGCTGGGTACGGAAAGGGTGTTTGTTAGGAGAAGCAAAACTGCGGTTCTTATGGGGTCTGTGGTGCTGCTGGCCCCAGAACAGGAGGCTTTATCTCTCTCTCGCTGGCGCTGGAGGCCAAATCCAGGCAACTGCAGAATCACAAGAGGAGGCCGTGGCCGAGCAGCAGGCCTGGAGAGCTGGGCCTGGCCCGCCGCCCACCCTCCCTGCGCCCTCACTGGTCTCCTCTGCCCTGAACCCCATCCCTCTTGTTTCTTCTGAGTCCTCTAATTTTATTTAGTTTTGTTTTTTTGGAAAGGGCTGCAGGGAATTCGAGGTCTTAGGAGCTGAATGACGCATGCATAGATCCCAGATGCCCCACTGGTAACTAACTTGGGCCTCTGATTCCTTCTCCTGTGCTGGACAGAGCCAGACGCTAACCTGTTAACATGATAAATATCAGCAGGCCTGACCTTTCCCCTGGGGTTCTGGAGTCGCCCTGACTCCCAGGCTCTGACTCGCTTGTGCTTAAGTGGATTAGTGCTCATCACAGCTGCAGGGCCCTGCACTCTGCTGATGGGAATCAAAATAGACATTACCTTATTTGACTTAAATTTTTTTTTCCATTTGAAAGAACCCCAGAGAAACCTGCTGGGGCTTACACATAGACAACTTTAAATTGGATTTTAAAAATAGTTTGCCAGCTGTTTGCTGGGTCCTAGTTTAAGTTCTTGTCCTTGATTGATGTTGGGTCCATTTGGGAAACAAGGCCAAGGGGGGATGAGGGTCAGCCAAGGCTGAAGTGCCCTGGACGCCTGTGGACTTTCCCAGGCAGTCGTTGCCATGGGCCCTCAGAAACCTCAGATCCCTGGCAGCAAGGTCTGTATTGCCCAGGGGAAATGGCCAGTGGGCAGCCTCCCCCAGATCTCACCTCAAAGAAAGGAAGCAGGGCTGTTCTTAGCAGGAGGGGCTCAGAATAGTCACTTTCAGCCACACTTTTCTGTGGCTGAATATTTAGGTTTAACTCTGTGTCATCTTCAGATGAACCACACAGAGGCCTCTTCCCCCAGCTCTCATCTCCTTCCTGTTCCTGCTGACCGCTCTTCAGTTTTCAGGTCCCAGCCAGAATGTCGCTTTCTCGGGGAAGAAGGAGGGACAGCAGAGCAGAGCGTGGTGCTTCAGAACACTGGCATGCCAGGGTTGAGTCCCAGCTCGGCACTTACAAGCTGTGTGATCTTGGGCTTCTTGCTGAAGCCTCAACAAGAGCTAATCACGTACAGAACTCTCCTCTTCCCACTCCAAACTCACTGGCTTCGGTAGAATAAGGTCCAGAACCTCAGTCGTGGTGGCCAAGTCCTCCTCAGCTCCCCCTGGCCGTTACACAGCTGGAGGGAAGCAGGGTTTCAGGGCTCAGGACCTCGAGGGGACCTGCCTTCATTATCTTCACCGGCATCCACCCATTTCCTCTCCAGCAGCTCCTCACACCAAGAGCCTTCTGCTCTGCCTGGGGCCTCCCCTGCCTGGAACCCCCACTATAAGCTGCTTCCCAGCCCCCATCTACCCTGCAGGCTCCACCTGTCTTCTCTCCCACCTTCCCTGACCAGCTTCTTGGCCTTTGACCATCTCCCCTCTTCTAGACTTCTGTGCTGACCCAGAGTCTCACCTCCACAGGCACTCCCAGGCACGGAGGAGAAGGACACCCACCCAGGGAAGGGCCTTCCAGCTTTGTGCCAATAAATGTCTCTTTTAGGACATCTCAGTGAATGGTCAGGCAGGGGAACATACAAAATGAAAAAGGAAGAATAATTGGTTTTCTATCTCAGATTACACCTTCCTTCCTACCCACGCCCCCAAACACACACACACACACACACACACACACATGTCTGTGAGAGAATGGCCAGCATGACTTCTTCATCCTGACAAGTACAGAAGCAAGATTCTAGAGAAGAGAGAAGTCGGAAAAACAAACTAATACATTTCTTTTACTGGCTCAGACAGCTGCGGAAGGCAAACAAGAACCTGGACCTGAGACAAACAGCCCCTGGTGTGGCAGGAGGTGGTGCAGGGGCTCTGGACACCCAGCAGGCCACGCCTGGGCTGCAGAGCTTCCTACTGCTGGCCACCTTGCTGACCCTCTCTGAAACTCTGGGGCTAACACCGTGTAAGCACAGATGAGTTTTGGAAGTGCACACACACACACGTGTGTTTGTACACAAAGTTTCCTGACTAGAATACGAGGAGTAAGGGATTCGTGGTGGCAGACTCTTAAGGTGCCACACAGAGGCCCTGTGGGATCTGGGACAGGCAGGGTCAGGACAGCCACCTAACAAAAGTGTTCCAAAGGGTAAGTAAACCTCATTTAAAGAGAGGACAAGTTTTACTCCTGGAAGGACTTTTCTTTGAAAGGAAGTAAAGCCACCATCTTAACTCAAGTTGCACATGCCTATATTCCTTAAAAGGGTGAAAAGAGGGGCTGGGGATGTGGCTCAATCGGTAGCATGCTCGCCTGGCATGTGTGCGGCCCAGGTTCGATCCTCAGCACCACATACAAACAAAGATGTTGTGTCCGCCGAGAACTAAAATAAATAAATATAAAAAATTCTCTCTAAAAAAAAAAAGGTGAAAAGAGTCTGACTTTTGTTTAAGTCACTTTATTCTGCCCCTTTCTGCGTGTCCACTTTGACCTGACTCTTGATTTTCTATTTCCTGATGTGTTGAATGCAAACTGCATGGCACCCGGCCATCCAGCCACGGTCAGCTGACACAGTCCTGCTTGCCCGACGCCATGTGCCCTCTCTGCAGCGTGCCTGTGCCAGGCCCCACCCTGCCCAGCTCTCCCAGGGCTGGCTCTTCCCTGCTGTGCTGCCCAGGCAGATGCTCCGTGGTGAACAGCCCCGTGTGAGCTGTACAGTTTGGCAAGTACAACTCTCTGTGATCGTTCTTTGCAGGTCAGGGCCCCTCTGGCCGGAGGGTCAAGACCTCACAGGCCAGATGCACCTCACTCCCCCTGACCTCAGGTGGACCACTGGTCTGCAGCCAGCACACATGACTAAGCCTCTTGCTTGTGGTTGAATTGGACCCCTGGGCCCCTGCCTGGCCCCTGCACCAGGGGGGTCTTTCCCCTGAGAATGAGTGTATCCCCACTGAGTCCCAAATCGGGGCAGCCCTCCATGCCTGGCCCACCCACACGTTAGCCAGGAAGAATAATCAGAGACAGGATGTGGAAAAGCCAATATCCCAATTCCAACTACAGTTCACAGCAACTTGCATATTTTACATAGAGTTAAAAGAGAGGAGTTGGAAGGATCAACACAAGAAATGGAAAGGAGATGGAACTGCTGATGACCCTGATCTGATCGCTACACATTGTGTACATGCTTCAAATTATCGCTGTGCCCCGTTAGGAAGAAAAAGTAAAAATAGCGCTCTTTCATTCACAAAATCCTACACTTTGAATGCAGGTGTAACTAAGAGGAGGACCGTCCTCCCACGCAGGCCTGTAAGAGGCACCGCAGAGGTTCACCGCTGTGTTGAAGGTCACACGTACAGGGTGTGTCAGAACTGGCACTTAAAATGAGCGTGTGCCTTTCTGTCTCGTTTTTTGGTGCTGGGGATGGAACTGGCCTCCCGCATGCGGAGCACTTGCTCCGCCTGAGCTGCACCCCGGCCCCTGGGTCTGCTGATCCCCTGATGCCCTTTTTCCTGTACCAGTTGCCTCTTGGTACCAATAGTGGTGAGAAAGCCATTTTTATTTCTCTAAAATGAAAAAAATATAAATTTTTTTCATTGTCA